AAAAAAAAATTACAGTTTATCAGTGCTGTGTTTGTGAGTGGGGACTAGCCCAGACAGTCACTAAGAGAGAAAGGAGGAGCTTCCGGGGGAGGGGAGCAGATGCATCATTGCAGGAAAAAAGAAGGGAGGAAGGGAAGGGAAGACCCCGCCCTATCACTTACTTGAAAGCTTTGTAAATTGGCCTAAACCAGCACACGTAGGAGCAGGGTGTAAAGAGAATAAGCCAAAGGATTGCCAGTCCAAAGTTAACAGCTCCTCCGCCTCCAATCAGCCATGCAAGGCAACCGATCAGATTGACAGCCAAGGTGATGCTATTCACTGCAGACAGAATTGTACAGAGAGAGAGAGAGAGAAAGAGAGAGAGAGAGAAGAGGAGAGAGGGAGAAGAGAGAAAGAGAGAGAAAGTGAGAGAGAGAAGAGAAAGAGACAGAAACACAGAGAGAGGAATGAAGGGAGGGAGAGAGAAAGTGAGAGAGAGAGAAAAAGAGGAGAGGAGAGAGAGGAAGTGTGTGTGAGACAGACAAAATAAGAGAGAGAGTGAGAGAGGAGAGAGAGGAGAGAGAGGAGGAAGAGAGAATGTGAGAGGGAGAAAGAGGGAGAAAAGAGAGAGAGAGAAGAGAGAAGAGAGAAAGTGAGTGAGAGAGAGAAAGTGAGTGTGAGAGAGAGAGAGAGAAAGAGAGAGAGAGAAAGAGAGAGGAGAGGGAGAAAGAGAGAAGAGAAGAGAGAGAGAAATAGAGGAGAGAGGAAGTGTGTTTGAGAGAGACAAAATGAGAGAGAGAGAGAGAAGAGAGAAGAGAGAAGGAGAGAGAGAGAAACAGAGAGAGAGGAACGAAGGGAGGAAGAGAGAGAAAGTGAGAGAGAGAGGAAAAGAGGGAGAAAAGCAAGAGAAAGAGAGAGAGGAGAGAGAGGAGAAAGAGAGAGAAACAGAGAAAGAGGAACGAAGGGAGGAAGACAGAGAAAGTGAGAGAGAGAGAGGAAAAGAGGGAGAAAAGCGAGAGAATGAGAGAGAGAGGAGAGAAGAGAAAGAGAGAGAAACAGAGAGAGAGGAATGAAGGGAGGAACAGAAAGTGAGAGAGAGAGGAAAAGAGGGAGAAAAGAGAGAAAGAGAGAGAGAGGAGAAAGAGAAAGTGAGAGAGAGAAGAGAAAGAGACCGAGAGCGGAGCGAAGGGAGGAAGAAAGAGAAAGTGAGAGAGAGAAAAAGAGGGAGAAAAGAGAGAGAGGAGAGAAAAAGAGAAGAGAGAAAGTGAGTAAGAGAGAGAGAGAGAGAGAGAAGAGGGGGAGAGAGAGAAAAAGAGAGAGAAGAGAGGGAGAAAGAGAGGAGAGGAGAGAGGAAGAGAGGAGGGAGGAAGTGTGTTTGAGAGAGACAAAATGAGAGAGAGGAGAGAAAGAAAGTGAGTGAGAGAGAAAGTAGAGAGCGAAAGAGAAGAGAGAGAGAGAGATTAAAAAACAAGAGAGAAAGATGGGGGAGAAAGCGAGAAGGAGCAAAGAGGCAGATCACACAGTGGGAGATCACAGAGCTTCACCAAAGATCCCAGTGGGGCCGCAGTTCAGAAACTGGATGGAGGATCCTTTCCCATTTCTAAGCTACAGAGGTAGTCCTCGACTTACGACCATGACTGACCTCCAAAAATTTAGATTGCTAAGTGAAACATTCATTAAGTGAGTTTTATGACCTTTCTTGCCACATTGGTTAATTGAATCACTGCAGTTCTTCAGCTAGTAACCCAGTTGTTAAGTGAATCTGGCTTCCCCATTGACTCTGCTTGTCAGAGGGTCACAAAAGGGGAATCATGTTAAACCCCCACCCCTCCCCCCCCGGACACTGCAACCATCATAAATACGAGTCAGTTGCCAGGAGTGCGAATTCTGATGGCCCTTT